CACCCCAGATTTCTACAGGACACTGTCAGTTAAAAAAAGGGACCCTCGCATGGCAGTCTTTGAGGTGGTGGCAGAAGATAGAATTAATTATTTCTCTGGGTTCAGGAAGAACTTACCCTTCTGTAAGACCATTTTCTATGTAACATGTTATATTACGTGCAAATGTTAAAATTTATGTAGTGGCACAAGCTTGCATAGTTAAAAATACTCATTTTCACATTTTTTTGGCCTTAGTTAAAGCTTTTTAAAAGATGTTATATACTAACAGATGTCTATTTAGCCAAAAAACCTAAAGAAAATGGGAATTGAAATGGCTATAGAGTTCAGTATGGCTTGATTTAGTAGGGAAATACTGGTTTTTCATTAGAACCTGGGATGTGAGACTCACCATCCTGGATTGTAACCATGGTCCAGTTCAGACATAGTGTATTTGCCCGGTTACAGAGTGGCATATTCTACATAGAAGAACTTCCCAGTTAACTGAAACTAGGTACCTTTTTGACAGTCCGGGCTGTTTAGTCTGTTGCCCAGGCTGGAGTGGCAGAATCACAGTTCACTGTAGCCTTGACCTCCTGGGCTCAGGCAGTCTTCTTACTTCAGCCTCCCGAGTAGCTGGGACTACAGACATGTACCACCATGCCTGGCTCATTTATCTTATTTTATTTTTTTAAAGATACGAGATCTTGCTACATTGCTCAGTTGTTCTTGAACTCCTGGGCTCAAGCAGTCTTTCTACCTTAGCCTCCCAAAGTGCTGGAGTTGCAGGCATGAGTCACCACACCTGACCTGCTCGGTCTTTTTAAAAATTTGATTTTAATTTCTGTGTCCAAAAAGCTGGGAAGCATCAGCTAAACTTGTTTTTAAACAGCCTGTTAAGTTTTGAAGTAATAGGCTCAATCGCTTTTTATCCTCCTAACACCGTTTCAAGTATTTCAATATAAAGCTTTGTGTCTAGCTGTTATTCTGGAATATAAATACACTATTCTGTTTCCTTCAAGTTCCAATCGAGATAGGAAATATGAGTTACTTTCAACACTAATACACAGATTATTTGAAAAATAATTGAACCTTATGTTGTTGGTGCAGGTCATTGTTGTGAGCACCTGCTATTTATGCTGTTAATTGTATGGATGTAATTTGGCCCTTTCGCCGTGACTGCTTTCTAGGCAATTGAGGCTTAGGGGGTTTTCTATCTCTGTTTGCTTTTCATAGTTTCTGTTTTGCTCTCAGGCTTTTAACTGCCACTTCTTACTAATATCACCTTGCTTAATTCCAGCACCCCCCTTCTCACTGTCCCTATAATTAGTTGCTTCTGATCTGCTTAGAAAATCAGATAAGTAAGCTTGTTAGATTTGTTTCCAAAGGGTAAGTAAAAAGATAGGACTAGCTAGGAATAGGATGTTCAGGGTTCAGTTTTAAAACCCTACGTTGGCTGCTCAGTGTACCCTGTCCACCTTCCCTTCCTTTGGCATTTCCATACAGGTTATTGGTGACGAAAAGTGTGCCTTCCCAGTGATGTTTGGATATAATATACTGTCATCAGTTATCATCAGTGTGACATCATCAGTAATTTGGACAAGTTATAATGAACTTTTAATAATACTGTGTATGTTATTTGAGGACAGAAATGGAGCTTCCATTTTCCCCACGCCTTACTGTCCCTGTAGGTTTGTATGTGTGTCATCTTGTACCAAGACATCTGTTCTAATTGTGGCTTCTCTGTTCTCCAGTTTACTTGCCCGTTAAGTGAGAATACAAAAGAATGAAAATTAAATATCGGGTGTTTCATTTTTGCTTTAAGTATTATCTTTTACAGAAATAAAAAGATGAGGAAAATAAAGAATAAACAAAATGCAACTAGAGTGTCTTCTGTTCATCCATATATTTACTATCTCTGCTGCTCTTCCTTTATGTAAATCCAAGTTTCCAACTGTTACCATTTTCCTTTTGCCTGAAGATCTTCCTGTAGTATTTCTTGGAGTGCAGGTCTGCTGGTGAAAAATTCATTTTTGGTTTGTTTGACTTGTTTTAATTTTGCCTTCATTAAAATATACTTTTACTGGAAAAATAATTATAGGTTAATACAATTTTGTAGATGTCATTTCATTGTCTTCTGGCTTGCAGGGTTTCTGATGAAGTTTCCTGTCATTTTGGTGTTTGTTCCTTTGTGTGTAATATGTCTTTTTTCTTCTGGCTGCTTTTCTCTGGTTTTAAGCAATTTGATTATGATGTATATCAGTGTGCTTTTGTTTGCATGTGTCTTGCTTGGGGGTTATTGAGCTTTTGTGGATCTGTAGGATTATAGTTTTCATCATATTTGGTAAAGTTTTGGTCATTATTTCTTACAGTCTTTTTACCCCCTCCACTCTCCATCCTGCTGTCATCGCAACTTTGTTTGTTTTAGATTGGTTGATATTATCCCACAGATCTCTGAGATTATTCTTTTTATTTATTTTTTCAGCCAGTTTTGGCTCAGTGCTTTTTGGATAGATTCTATTGCTATGGATTTAAGTTCCTTGATTTTTTTCTTTCTTTCTTTCTGCAGTGTCTAACCTGCATTTATTCCAACTCAGTGAATTTTTAATTTCGGATGTTGTGTTTTCTTAGTGTTTAGAAATTCCACTTGATCTTTTTTTGACTCTTCCTTTTCTCTTGTTCTGTTATACCTTCCTGTCATTTTTTGCCATTTTGTGCAAGTTCACTGACACGTGCTTCCTAGAACTTAGCATATTTCTGTAGCTTTCTTCCTGTGTAGCATTTTCCCCCCCCCCTAAACTCTGTCCTGTAATTTCTGGCACCTTCAGCCTCCCTGAACTCTGTTCTTTATTGTCTCAACTTAGCAAGACTATCCATATAATTTGACTTCTCCTTCTCTGAAAGTGGTGGCCTGGAACTTGTCTCTAATCAGAAAGTTGGGATGATTGTATAGCTCACCTTGTTTCCCTTTTTTCAGGTATCACAGTTCTCGCTGCCTGTTGTCTGGTGTCTGCAAGCAGTTTCATATATTCCGTCAGGTTTTCTAGCTATTTACTGCAAGAGGTTTAGTCTAGTCCTTGCTATTCTATCATTGCTGCAAGCAGAAATCCCAGGCATTCCATTGAAATTGGTCCATTGAAAATAAATTCTCAGCAGCTGAATACAGTTCTAAATGGAATGCCTGCATAGATTAGAAGACTGAACAAAACATAATTTATCTGAATTCTTGAGTGAAGCATAATAGTGTCCTCATGTCCTCCATTCATTTTTTACCTTTCCCACAGACTGGAACTATTCCTGTTCTAAGCAGAGTAATGATTACAGTTTTTCCACGTAGTTGAAAATGACAGCACTTCAGATGCTCTTGGAGTTCCCTAGAGGACAGACAGGGTGAGATCAGTCCCTGTCACTGCTAATGCTGGCAGCGCTCAGTGAGTGATCTGTCCTTTGAGTCATTCTTATCCATCACATTAGACTTGCATTTACTCTTGGGAAGGCCTTCAGAAATGTGCTCTGCAGTTTCTGAATGACTCTCTAAATCCCTGGGAAGTCTGTGCTAATAGAACACTGCACATCCGAATCAAAAAATTGATGTGTGGAGTGAAAGAACCATCTTATAACAGCATGGTATGATAAGACAGTCTGGGAAATTTAAAGGCAAGTTGAAAGAAGCTGACATGACTGAGGATATGTGTTTGTAAGGATGTGTTTTCTCCTCCTCCCCAACCCATGTTGAATACATTAAGCCATGTAACTTGAAGTGCATTGCTGGTGAGTTTTACGGAACTTTGCAGTCCTGAGTAGACCTAAGACTCGGCTGTTGACGGTTTAGGTATAAAGCAGCTAGATCAAGGAAAGCATGGTGCTCTTTATGTCTGTTTTCTGATTAGCAGTTGTTCAAGCTTATTGGGAAAGATCTAATGCCCTTTTTCAGAAATCTTGAATATTGCCAGCTACAGATGTTGGTTGTTCTTTTTTGTTTGTTTTTAATTATTCTGAGTTCTTTGTTTAGCCTACTGAAAGACTCATACTTGCCACATTAAGTTTTTGGTACTTGCTTCATAAGCTTTAATTTTGCATCATTAAAGTGTGGTTTATAAATATATTGAGTTTTAAGAACCCTAAGATGGTTTTTCTTTTTAATTATAAATGCAATTTAAGGATTACTGATTGAATCTATTGCTGTTTAGAAAATTTACAAGTTATTGAACTTATGCAAAAAGCGTTCAACTTCATTAAAAAAAGAAATGTCACATAGAAGAACATTTTTTTAACCTGCCAAATTGGCTCAAGTTTTAAAATGATAATAATGTTGGCAAGGTTGCGTCAAGATGGGCACTTATTTGAGCTTCCAGGAAAAATTGATGTTCACGTGACCCTTCTGATGATGAGTTTGGTGGTATACATAGGGCACTTTACCCTTTTGGACCCAGTAAGATTGTTTCTAGGGATTTTTTTTCTTAAAATTGTTTGAAATGTGAACAAAAAAATGTATATAGGAAGGTATTTGTTGCAATAATGGTAAGGTGTTGGAAACACCCCAAATGTCTAACAATAAGAGTGTTTCAGTTGTGGCATTTTCCTACTATGAAGTACCATACAGCTATTAAAGTGGTGTTTGTGAAAAATATTTCATCACAAATAAAAAATTTACATATTTGAAGTAAGCAGTATTCCAAAGTGATATATAGTCTCACCTCAGCTGTTATTTTTAAATGTATGAATGAAAGGTCAGAAATAGTCCAAAATGTTAAAGTAACTGTTTCTAGGTAGTGGTTTTATTAGCGATGGTTTTCTTCTTTTTTCTTTATTTTCCAAAGTTGGAATGGGAAAGCATCTGCGTTTACAAAAGCAATCACGATCTTTGTGGCTGCATTTTGGACTCACCCATGGCTTTCCAGACCCTAGGCAGACACCTCAGATTGCAGAAGAATAGGCAAACCATTTATTGTCTAAAACTAGCTGTTGTTTTATGATCAGGTGAAGAAGTGCTTTAAAAAATTATTTCTGTGTTTACTATTCAGATAAAAATTTTGATGACGAAGATTCTGTGGATGGTAATAGACCTTCCTCTGCTAGCTCTACATCCTCCAAGGCTCCACCAAGCTCACGGAGAAACGTTGGAATGGGAACCACCCGCCGGCTTGGGTCATCCACTCTTGGATCCAAGTCTTCTGGTAAGTCCAAGCTCTGTGTGGTGTTCTGGGGTCCCAGTAAGATTGTTTCTTACTGTGTGGTGTTCTGGGTCCTTTTGAACCCAGTAAGATTGTTTCTAGGGATTTCTTTCTTAAAATTGTTTGAAATGTGAACAAAAAATGCATATAGGAAGGTATTTGTTGCAATAATGGTAAGGTGTTGGAAACACCCCAAATGTCTAACAATAAGAGTGCTTCAGTTGTGGCATTTTCCTACTATGAAGTACTGTACAACTATTAAAATGGTGTTTGTGAAAAATATTTCATCACAAATAAAAAATTTACATATTTGAAGTAAACAGTATTCCAAAGTGCTGCCTTTTGCAACCAGAGGTGCACGGCACTTGCCTGTGGTGGCCCTCAGAAGTGCTGAAGTCCCCGTATGCACGTTTCTGCTTGCTGTTCTTTGATTGCGCTAGCATTGTGATGTCGCAATGCTGGTAAGCTGATGGGATGTAAGTTTGGGCTGAGAGGTTGACCTTTGCCACATATAAGGCAGAGCCTGTGGGAGAATGAAAAGCCAACACAGACGGAGAAAGGCACAGCTCAGAGATAAGAGCAAGAGCGCACCCTCATGGCATTATTTGGTGATCCAGATTCGGCAATGCCGAAACCATCATGGAACGTTTAAGCCAATTTCTGTTTAAGACCGAGAATAATCTCCTGACTTTAAAATATGTTTTGTTCTTACAAGTAGCATGATTCCTTATGAGACCAGTATGGATGTTGAATTAAATAAATGGTAGGAGATTAGCTCCCTGAGGCTTTGAAAATTGATTTACAAAGATTTCTCCTATTGATTCCTCTTCTCCCCCCCCCAACCTAGACAGATTAACTAGCCGTTATACACAACTCTCATCTGTATGTCACGTTTTATTTTTTTATTTTTTTTGAGTTGGAGTCTCACTCTGTCGCCCAGACTGGAATGCAGTGGCTGCTCCCGGCCACCACAGACTCGACCTGCAGGGCTCCGGCGATCCTTCCGCCTCAGCCTTCCAAGTAGCTGGAACTACAGGCATGCGCTACCATGCCCGGCTGATTTTTGATTTATTGTAGAGATGAGATCTCACCAAGTTGCCCAGGCGGGTCTCAAACCCGCGGGCTCAGGCAATCCACTCACCTCAGCCTCCCAAGGCATGGGATTACAGGCTGAGCCACTGAACCCAGCCTGTATGTCATGTTTTAAATGTACATGCAAATTTCCTCTGAAATGTTATCTCTGAAAAATTGTGTAGCTGCTGCTTTTAGAACCATTTTCACTTGTTAGCTTTGGGTTTTGAGCTGCTGCTGCTGCTGGTGGTAGTGGTGGTGGTATGGGTGAGAATCCCGTAAGCCAAAAAGCCAAGGCTGAATGGGCTGAGTAAAAGCTGCAGTAGTGGTTAGTACTAGAATGCCATCTCTGATGGTCTTTTCTGAATTCTGAATTGGCCCTGGAATGTTGGTTTCTTGACCAGCTTGGTGCCACTGTGTCCAACATCTGTTTGTGACAGAGGAGCTGCACTGGCAAGCTGCAGCAGGGAGGGCAGAGAAGTGTTGTGTTGTTTCTTGTTAGCTGTATTTCTTCTTGGTTCCTTGTCATCTTTTTTTTGAGTTGGAGTCTCACTCTTGTCACCCAGGGTGGAGTGCAGTGGCACGCTCACGGCCACTGCAGCCTCTGCCTGCTGGACTTAGGCAATCCTTCTGCCTCAGCCTTCCAAGTAGCTGGAACTACAGACACACACCACCACGTCCGGCTATTTTTTGTGTTTTATTGTAGAGATGAGGTCTCACCAAGTTGCCCAGGCTGGTCGCGAACCTGTGGGCTCTGGCAGTCCTCTCGCCTCGGCCTCCCAAAGTGCTGGGATTACAGGCTGAACCACCACACCCGGCTTCCTTGTAATCTTTATTTGGTGCATTTTAAAACTTTTTTTATAGAGCTTAAATTCACATAACATAAAATTAACCATTTTAAAGGAAATATTTTTAGTGTTTCATCTACCTTGTAGTAGTCAGTACTTTTGTTCTTTTTAATGCCTGAGTATCTTTCTGATCTCTTTTCTTGTTCATTTCTTGGGTAATTATCAGTTCACAATCAAGGCTTAGAAAATTTCTACATGACCAAACCACTGCTTTCCTTCCCATCCCTCACCTACCCCCCTTTCCAGAAGTCCTCACTATATAGATTATGCAAATATCAGCCCCATTTTCCTTTTTAGCTCTGTGCTCATTCTTTTTCCTGGTTGTTTAACACTGTAGTCTTGGGTTTCCTGGTGACTCCTCCTTGTTAGATTCCTTGGGCTCAAGGACTGTTTGTTGGCTTTTGAGTCCTCTTCAGTATGTGGGTACAGGTGTAGTGCCTTCTGCAAAGGAGGCATTCAGGACCTATCTTCTTGGTGAGATCCAATTCTTATGCTAAAACAGCTGCAGAGTACCACATTATAGTGGGTGGCTATCGCCCTTTATGGTTAACTTGTCCATGCAATGTGAGTGATTTTCTTCAAGAGTGAAGACACACATTCAGTGCTACCTGGGATTATCTCTAAAGCCCTTTTCTTTCTGGGTAGTCTATCGGGACCCTGAACACCAGATATGAATCTGATAAGAAGCTCTTAGAAGAACTGTCAGAATAATTAATGTAAATCACTAATGGGTCTCATTAAGATGACTGTATGTACTGGTTTTGAAAATGTGAAAAAAATCTGATAAAGCAAATCTGATTTTCATGTATAAAGGGGAGTTCATATTAGCAAAAAGAAATAACTTTCTTCAAATTATAGCAGTTAGCTTTTAGGATAACTTTGTAGGGGGAATGTGTAACTGATGTGTAAATGAAAAATTAACATACTTATGGTGGATTCAAGGAAATGGAACTATTTTGAAACTAATATAAAGTTAAATGAACCTGTTAAATTATTTAGAACTTGTTTGAGTATTCACCAATTTGTTATGCTGGATTCCCAATAGTAACATAATCTAATTTATTCCCCGAAGAATTAAATTTCCTGTTAAAATCTCTTTATTAGGAATCTTTCAAAAAATTTGAATGTTAATTCGATATAAATCATCCGAATTTTTTAAAACTCAGACTCTCCCTTCTTAAACATTAGTTTCTCTAGTGACCTTGAGCTAATGTATGTAGCGTTGTAGAATTACTATACTTTATTGTGATACAAGTAAGTAATGTTTATTAATTTCATGACACTCTGAAGTTGCATTGAAGCCTTTTTAAAAAAAATCTTCCAAATTGTTCTAAATCTTCCAAAATTTAGAATGTTTATATTCAGGCTTCTCCAATATATGTTATATACTTTGTTGTACATTGTTTTCATTAAAATTTTTTTTATAGCTGCAAAAGAAGGAGCTGGTGCTGTTGATGAAGAGGACTTTATTAAAGCATTTGATGATGTACCTGTAGTACAGGTGAGTGAGGATATTTGAGTATGAAAAACAAGGGTTTGACTTATTCAGTTTAATTTTTCAAAGATGTCATATGTGGCGTTCTATACTGGGCCAGGTAGTTTTAACTATCAAGACTACAGAAGATCTGAGTTGTGGACTAGAAAATGTTAGAGCAAAAATCAAGGCCCATAAGGTCCTTCAGTAAAAAACAAGAGAGACGTTGATAGCTCTAGTATTAAGTTTGTGGGTCAGGTCACATAAAAGAAAAGGAAATAGAGAATTAGACTAAATGAGAGAATAAAGAAACATGTTCCTTTAGGGATTTTTCTTAGAAAAAAATTGTAAATTTGTTGGATTTTGATGTCATAAGAGCTATAGAGAATGGTTTAATAAAAGCTTTCTTCACTTGAAGCACCTAACAGATGAAACAAAGATTATTTATAACATTTGGGAGTAGTCACACTTTTTTCTTTTCTTTCTTTTTTTTTTTTTTGAGTCTGTGTCTCACTCTGTCACCCAGGCTGGAGTGCAATGGCATGCTCACAGCTACCACAGCCTCAATCTTTTGAGCAATCCTTCTGCCTCAGCCTCCTGAGTGGCTGGATCTACAGGCACGTGCCACCACGCCTAGCTAATTTTAAATTTTTTGTAGAGGCTAACTCTTGCTATCTTGCCTAGGCTTGTCTCAGACACCTGGTCTCAAGCAGTCTTCCTGCCTAGGTCTTCCAAGGTGCTAGGATTGTAGATAGGAGCCACGGTACCCAGTCAGCCATACATTTTTTACTGCATTGTGCTTCAGTTTCTGCTGTTGCTGATTGGGGCAGATACTGTCAGCCTGATTAACAGCCTGTACTCTGGATTTCTATATAGCACTTACAGTTGGTTATAGACAATGCTCCCTGCCATCTTGGTTGCCGTATGTGCGTAAAGTAGATAATAAGCATCTCAGGTCCGAGTCCATCCCTAAGTACTTGACCTTTCCAGCATACATCATGATTGATTATACCCTGGACCTGCCTTCTAAGATGTGAGGATACATACGAAAGTAGATTGGAAAGTGTTTAAAATTATAGGAATAATGCAATGTTATAAATAATACTAAGAGTAATAAATGACTTGTGCGTCACTGACTGTTTCCTAGTAGTCTTTCTGTTTTGTACATGAAGTCATCTGATAAGTTTATAGTGGTGCTATGCGTAAGCAAAGTTATTGACACATCGCAGCAAATCTAGTGGGTACACATTCTCAATGGAAAGGAGCTCATTCTAAGACAAACCTGCCTCGCTATTTACTCATAAATATATCTTAAAAATGAAATAATGTCTTTTGCTATACTTGCTAAATGTTCTTGGCTTCATGTAATTAAGAAATAATCTTGTGTTTATTCTGAAAATGTTTCTATATTGATTGTAAATTAATTTTGCTTACAGATTTATTCCAGCCGAGACCTTGAGGAGTCCATAAACAAAATTAGGGAAATATTATCTGATGACAAGCATGATTGGGAGCAGAGAGTAAATGCTGTAAGCTGTTGACTTCATGTGATTACATTTTCATTAGATTAATTTAAATATCCCAAATACTTTATTATGAAACTGAGGGACAGCTCTAATGAATTTTAAATATACGTTATCATAGTTACACAGAGCCTTTTTAGTAGAGTACTTTTACTTCTGTTTTTAAAACAGAGCAACTTACACCTTTATGTATCTCAATCTTTTAACAAAGACCTGATGTAGAATGCCTGATAACAACCTCTACTCTCACCTTAGTAAATATTTAGTTCTGTGATTGTTTGCCTGTAAATCAGCTTTTAAGTGGCATTTTCAGTCTGTGTTCCTCAGTATTTTCTTTCTTCATATCACTTGCCGGAAAGTTGTATCTTTTCTGTTATTAAAAATAGATTAATGAAAAGTGGGCTGGACATTTAAGTGAGGGTGTGTCTTATCTGAGAAAGCCATTTTATATTGTTTGACTGCCTAGAAGAGAGGTGGTAAAATTGTTTTTATATTCTGTTTCAAGTTCAGATTAGCCAGTGGATGATGCAGTAGAGAACAATATAGAAACACTATAGAACTGCTTCTTACTATTGTTAATTAAATAACTAGCAATTGGATGGGGTGTGGGGAAAGGTAAGCTTAAGAGGGGCTTCTTAAGCCAAGAGGAAGGTTCTGAGTTGTTTATCATTAGTATCATAGAACCTATAAATACACTACAATATTTCAGATGTAAAAATAATATGTTTTTGTAGCAATTGTAATACAATTTTCACATAGGTCACATTTTAAAAAATATCTTGGTCTTATTTGTGCTATGTAGATTTCTTCAGTATATTAGCTAATATTTAACTGACTGGATTCTCTTAGGAAAACTGTATCAGTTAACTTTAATGTTGATCTCTTTTATATTTTATGGCTTCTCTTGTTTTATATCTCTTAATTTTCTTTATCCAATTAGCTAAAAAAGATTAGATCTTTACTTTTGGCTGGTGCTGCTGAATATGATAACTTCTTTCAACATTTGCGCCTTTTGGATGGAGCCTTTAAACTCTCTGCTAAGGATTTGCGGTCTCAGGTAGTGCGGGAGGCTTGTATCACATTGGGGTAAGGACTGTGATGCTTCATATTCTCACACACCATCAAGTAGTCTTACCTCAGAGCTTCAGCGATGTCTCTCGAATATGTGAGCTGGGTCTCTTTTAATGAAACTTTGGACTAGTTTCCAAGACCCATTCCAGTTAACACTTCTTTCAGCATTTTTATAGTATTTTTTTCCCAATTATGTAAAGTGTGACAGGTTTTAAATTTTATTTTATACAATGACATAGCTCTGAGGCCTCTGTTTTAAATTTGAAGCAGTTATTAATTATAATATGGAAAATGAAATTTTATTAAATTCTGTTTCTCTGACTTTTGGTTTGTTTTGATGGCAGAATATAGCATGGTTATCAGAATATTTCTAAAAGAGTATGTAGCTATAAAGTTAAAGGCATTTACTTCAGTAAAAGTTTATACTGGCTACACCTGTATTAGCGATCAAAGCTAATAAAACTTTGTGTGAGAACGTATGTCAGAATATCAAAGAAGGAACAGCAGTAAGGAGGCATTGCAGCTGTTTAAAGTTTTGGCTGCAGTCAAATATTGAAGCCTGAATGTTTTATGTTGAAGATAAAAGGACTAAACAAAAAGCAGGGGGACAAGGAAGCTTTTTCATATTTATATTTTATTAGTGTATGATCAATTTGTTTGTTCCTTGCTATTTTAAGACTGATTGGAGATAGGCACAGTGGCATGTGACTATAGTCACAGCTACTGAAGAGACTGATGCAGGAGAATTGCTTGAGCCTAGGAGTTCAAGTCCAGCCAGGGCTACATAGCGAGACTGTCTCTAAAAAATAAACAAAACCCATGAGACTAGTTGGAAATGATTTTCTAAAAAAACTTTTGGGTTAATGGCTATTTACAAGTTCTCTACATGCACATTGGAAATACTTTTAAAGTATCTTACTTAGACCCTTGTCCTGTATCCCTAGATAATTTTAAATGAAGGCTCTAATATGTTAAGTGTTTATATGTTTCACTGTTTGTAAGAAATGTAACTACAGTCCAGTATTCATTTCTTATTGTAGGCATCTGTCATCAGTTCTGGGGAATAAGTTTGACCATGGAGCTGAAGCCATTATGCCAACGATCTTTAATTTAATTCCAAACAGTGCCAAAATTATGGCCACTTCTGGTGTTGTAGCTGTTCGGTTAATTATCCGGGTAAGTACGTTGTAGGGCCATACAATAATAAACAAGTGATAAATATTGGTGGTTGATAAGAAATAGTTGAGGCAGTTTTTATTAGAGTAACTATATATTATTGGAACCATGTTTGTACATATAATATCATCTATTACCCCCACTTAATTATAACATAGAGCTTTTTCTAATCCATAATGTGAATTGTGTATGTGGTGCAAAGTTACTGAGGTGTCAATTGTTGACTCCCCATTGGTTTTTAAATGTTTAAACATCTGTGTCTACCTCTGAGTTTATATTCTACTCATGCCTCTCACATATTACTCCTATTCTTACCTCCTTAATCCCAGTCCTTCCATTTTAGGTATTTATGCTTGTGGTTTTGCTATTCATGCAAAACTTTTATTTAATTAATTGCACATAAGCACAGAAACAAAATGTTCTCTTTAATAATTAAGAAACTTAATTATTTATACTGAAATAGTTATCCAAGTAATTTTGCACAAATCTTCAACAAAACCTACTAGTTCACAAAGGTTAAAACGAAAGTTTGTCACGTTAGCTCCTTGCCACTTTTAGGCCCATTTCTCCCAGAGGCAACTCTTTTGAAATTTTGGGGCTTGATGAAGTCGACTAAAATCTATTCAGAATATTCTTGATTATTGTGAGTTACTTGTATTATTTTTAGTTCTTACGGTTCTTACTTATACTGCCTATTTAAAATATTAAACCCCAAATCGTTATGGGACATTTCTGTTGAAACTTTATCAAAATATATTGGCCTAATAATTCCTCAGATCTCTACTGCTTGGATAATTTAGACCTTTAATAATGATTGTTTTGATTTTAGACTTATTTATGTATCATCGTGTTGCCTGTTTCTTGACTGGTGTAAGTTTTCTGATGGCCTTTGGTAATATTTAGTGAAATTATTTTTTTAAAACTCGCCAACATTTGAATTTGATATATATATATTCTGAGTGGGTTAATAAGGAAGCAGTTCTCTTAGTTTATTTTATTATATATTTTTTATTTCCAAGTGTTCACTTCTGTTGTTTTTGTTCTTTTCCACAGCACACACACATCCCTAGGCTAATACCTGTCATAACAAGCAACTGTACCTCTAAGTCTGTCGCAGTTAGAAGGTAAATTTTTAAAGGGTTTTCTCGTTATTTTTGAATTGTTTAAAAACCAAAACAAGGCCAAGCGTAGTGTCTCAGGCCTGTAATCACACACTTTAGGAGGCCAAGGCAGGAGAATTACTTCAGTCCAAGAGTTTAAGACCAGCCTGGGCAACATAGCGAGACTGCGTCTCTACAAAAATAAAAATAAAAACATTAGCTGGGCATGGTGGTACATGCCTATAGTCCCTGTGACTCGGGGGTTGAGGCAGGAAGATCACTCGAACCTTGGAATTGGAGACTGCAGTGAGCTATGGTCGCGCCACTGCGCTCCAGCCTGGGTGACAGAGCAAGACTCTGGCTCAAAATAAACTCCAAAACTCCCTCCATGGATAAAACTTCATGTTTGAAATGTTTAGTATCATTTAAGATCATTACAATAAATACCTTTGGGTTGAAGAGTCAAGATCTAAGTATTTTAGAAAATGAATTTTTTTGAGTTGGAGTCTCACTCGGTCGCCCAGACTGGAGTGCAGTGGCCGCTCCCGGCCACTGCAGCCTCGACCTGCTGGGCTCCGGCGATCCTTCCGCCTCAGCCTTCCGAGTAGCCGGAATTACAGGCGCGCACTACCACGCCAGGCTGATTTTTTGATTTACTGTAGAGATGAGGTCTCGCTGCCCAGGCGGGTCTCGAACCCTCGGGCTCCGTCAATCCACTCACCTCAGCCTCCCAAAGGCGCGGGATTACAGGCTGAGCCACTGAGCCCGGCTAACATTTGGTTTCTTAAGATACTTCTTAAACTTTTTGGTGAAAAGCATTCTCTGACATTAATGCAAAGTCCTGATTCTGTCATATACGCTGATCTTCTGTGTGTGCATGCATTCTGTATTAGCATTACTATTTAGACGAGCAAATAAAAAACAAATGACATTGCAAAACCCTTTCAGTGATGGTGCCATGAAATTTAAGTTTCTGATTGGAGGGAGACTCTTGTGTCCCGTCCCTGTGGCTACAATAGGTGCTTAATCCCTTTCATTTGCTTTGGTTTTTATTAGTAGTCAGTCTGATTACTTCTTTATGTTCCATTTTCCTAACCATAGAAATGAAAAATGTATCAATTATAAAAAGTAGTGTTGGGCCACTTAAGGAAAACATTGTTTCATTTTCACTAGCATACATATTAATAAGTTATATGTTTCTTTCTTAATACTTTCCAGGCGCTGTTTTGAATTTTTAGATTTGCTTTTACAAGAGTGGCAGACACATTCACTTGAACGGTGAGCATCTGATTTGAAGCTGTTTTTTCCTCCGAATTGAATCTTGAGAGCAAATTCCTCAGTGAGCAGTCCAACTCACTTTCTATAAGGAATGAAGGAACCTATACATTTGTTCACACTACTACTTACGTTGGCCGCAACGTGGCAGACACTTTTACCTAATTTTAGTGGCTGAAATATTAGTGTGCCCAGAGAATGGGCTCGTGTTCACCCAGGTACACAGCCAGATTTCACTTTTCATCAACTGACTCTGCTGTCTGACATTCCTCAATTCCAGTGAGGTAAATGTTGAAAGCTGCTCTAGGTAGGCGAGGTGTGACACTTAGGTCTTTAAAGCAATTTTGCTCCTTTTCCTCCCCCTCTAATTGATGCAGACAACCCGTTTACTGTTAAGGTGATTCTCTCATAATTTCCAGAGAAACTAGTTCTGAAGGGGAAAAGGGGGATTTGTTGTTTAGGTTCACAAATGATTGAGCTAAAGAAATTTTGCCTGAAAAAAAATCAGCTTTTATTTTTAAAATCTCCCGAGAGAATGAGGGTCAATGAGGTCCCTAGGTGAGGGTGGCCTGGGTGGCATCTAGAGAAGGACTCTGACTCGCTCGACTGTGTGGGAGGTGCCCAGCCTCGCACGGAGACTCCACGTTCCACGTTTCCATTTGAAGTTATTTCTCACACCTGACTTCATCTGCATGAAACCACACATTTATGATTGCGTTTGCTCTCTTTTCTAAATCTCTAGACACATATCAGTATTAGCTGAAACAATAAAGAAGGGAATACATGACGCCGATTCTGAAGCACGGATAGAAGCCAGAAAGTAAGTTTTTATTGTACTCCGCTTTTTAAATTAACTACTTTTATATTTCACATGCTTTGTATGGATTGCCTTATTAAAAACCCACTAAGTTACTTTAACATATTTTGTTAATTAGGACTTTGAAATATGACCCTAAAAGATCATTTTAGAACATTTCTCCATTTTTGTTGTTGTTGAGAAGTTTGACTGAGTGATATTATTTGGATATAAATAGAACTGAGGCAAACAACAGAATACTGGCTTTTAAATTCATGAGAAGTTATCACATAGATCAGAAAAGCACTTGTATGCATGCTCAGTCTATCCCTTCATACACTAAACTCTATTGAGAGCCGTGTCATAATCCAAAGCTACTTTACCAGTTTACCAAGCAAAATCACAGCCAAGGAGATTCTCTCCCTACGGTCACATTTTTGCACATGTCTGGTGGTGCCGGGTAAGTGTGAATCACAGTAGAGGGAGCTGACTTGACCTAATAATGCTCAGATTATCACAGTGGTAACTGGCTGTTTCTGTCTCACAACTAAGGTAGTTTTGCCGTTAGAACTGGGAATGCTCTGGTCATGTGCCCATGGCCCCTATATCTGTTACCTCTGTGGGAATAATTTTGCCACTGTGACTATAAATATCAGAAGTGTAATATTAAGACTTATTCTCTCTTGGGATGACTACTGCCAGTTTTACATCTGTGTTTTGTTTTTGATTTTCGTTTTCTATACTCTCATAGTTGATTGGTTCTTCTAACTGACACAGGCTAAAATCTAGTCTTTTCCTAGTCTGCAATGTTATGTTTTTACTTAGCTGCATTAATACATCCTGATACAGTACTTACTGCTCTTTGATTGCCCCCACAGTTAAATTATATTTCCCTTGTTTCTGGGTTTATTATAAGTCTGAAGCATTTGTCATGATCTTATCTTGAGTAGTTCCTATCTACCAACATAAGTGACATAATTAATAGTTGCTAAAGGTGATTAGAAGTAGATTTATTAATGTTTCCTTATGCTGTTTTTGTCCTTATGTTGTATTCCTTCCCCCACCCTCATTTTTTCTAGTTCTTTAATCATAATATAATACAGGTTTCAAGTAACTCTGAATGTTTTTCCAGTTTTTTCATTTAGAGATAGGATCTCACTTTGTCACACAGGCTGCAGTATAGTGGTGTGATCATAGCTCACTGAAACCTTGAACTTCTGGGCTCAAGTGATCTTCCTCCTTCAGCCTCCTAAGTAGCTAAGACTACAGACACATGCCACTATACCCCGCTAATTTTTATTTTTATTTTGTTTTATTTTTGTAGAGGTGGGATCTTGCTATGTTTCCCAGGCTGGTCTCAAATTCTTGGCCTCAAGTGATTCTCCTGCCTCAGCCTCCCAAAATGCTGGGGTTATAGGCGTGAGCCACTGTGCCTAGCAGTTTTTTCATTTTTCCTCTGTACATGCTACCTAATGCAATTTAAAATACCTCAGATCAAGGAAATCAGGGAACGTCAAGTTGCATTTGTAAAAGCTGTCATTAATTAGGAATGAATTATTAGGATGGAATTAACAAGTCCATCTCGTGTTCTAACTATCGTGCTAGATGTTCCCTAAGACTCCCCAGTCTTGCATGTTTGACCCCGTAATTCCCACTTTATAAGTGAGGCTGAGATTCAGAGAAATTAATTGATTTGTCCAGTGTCAAAAAGCCAGTGAGTTGTGGAGGCCAGGAATTATATCAGGCCTCCTTTGTTTACCCTCTCTTCCTTTACCATGCTGCTGCTCTGAGCAGGCAAACTGAGGGGTTGAGTCCTCGGAAATGTTATGTGGGCTATACTCCAGGGCTCAGTGACAGACTTATGGGGATCCTCAGACCTCGACTGGGAATTTTTGTGTCTTCCCTAGATGTTATTGGGGTTTCCACAGTCACTTCAGCAGAGAAGCAGAGCACTTATATCACACCTTGGAGTCCTCCTACCAGAAAGCCCTGCAGTCCCACCTGAAGAACTCGGACAGCATAGTGTCTCTGCCTCAATCCGACCGCTCGTCTTCCAGCTCTCAGGAGAGTCTAAAGTAAGAAACGCAGCTTGGCTTGTCATTGTGGGAATTTGTATTTAGGCGTTTACCACATGGAAACAAACTCTAGTTATGTTGACGTGTATTGTGTGCCTATTATAATTCCCCCTTTCTTCAGGTAAATTCTGGGACTAGGTAGGATGCCGGGTGGGAGATGGTCAGAAGTAGACTAGTCCTTGGCCTCTGCCATAAGTGTTCTTCAGTTAAACGTGTATGACAGTCCCAGAATACAGCTTTAGAATAGCGTAAATGAATTACAGAGTAGTGTGAATTGTATACGCCAGTGCTTCCAAGAGTCTTCTGAGAGGATGTAAGTGTGAACCTGGAGAGTTTGGAAAAGGAGGGTACTCAGCAACTGGGACTTAATATTATTATCAACTTCGCTCTGTGATCTTCCTTTCTGTCTCTGTTTACTCTCTCTCTGCATTTGGAAGGTAGTCCAGAATATATTGCTAAAGCTTTGTTGGAAATTACGGGATTTTAAGGTTGGTTTATACTGCCTGAAAATTCTAAAAAATCTGAAATGATTCTTTATTATCATAATGTCCAATTATAGTTTTTATTTGTATTAATGCAGATAAAGTACACATTTGATAATAAACAAATGTATACTTTGATTTTTAGTCGGCCGCTCTCTGCCAAAAGAAGTCCTACTGGAAGTACCACATCTAGAGGTAAGACTAACAGCCTTGAAGAAGACCTGTTCTCAGCCTCTGGTGGGCCGCACGGCGCCCAAAGGCTACCCGGTTGCAGGAGGCCGGTGGCCTCTCCTGCACTCCAGGCACAGATTGGGCAGTCTGCTGCTCTGCCACCTGCTGTGCCTCTCCTTAGCAGATCCACTTTGCCAAGGCCGGTCACTGCTGAGGATAACACTGGCAGCATTACTCAGGCAGGCAGGAGGGAGGCTCTGGGACCTTTGCTCCCCCCCCTCCAGATGACGCTGCGCCTTTCTCTGATCCCTTGACTAGACTTTGAAGACAGTTGGTGACACTTTGAGGCGGAGCAGCAGCAGCTTGGTGACTGCTAGTGGCGGGAGGGTGACCTGTCCCAGGAAGGGGGGGCCCCTAGGTAAGAGTCCCTGTGCAGTTGTGTTATTGCATGAGGAGCCTGGCCAGGCCCGAGCATTTTTTGGTTATTTCACTTCTTTTCATAGTGACCAGAAATATGGCCATTTCTTTGAGATTTAGAGTCTTTAGTTACAAGGAAATATGTGTATATGGAGTAGATATGTTGTAATTGAGGTCACTTCTAGTTTCAGCATCACCTGAGCTCTCTTCCTGCCAAGGAGAGACTGTCAGTCAGTCCTTTGTGCTCCTGCTTTTGTGAAAACTTGATATTTGTTTTCAAGAAAACAAAACAACATGAAATTTTAGCAGTGTACGTTTACAATTCTGTGTAGTCCTTACTGATGCTTCCTCCTTCACCACTAAAGCTTCTACAGTTAGTACCAAATCTGTGTCAACGACTGGGTCCCTCCAGCGGTCTCGAAGTGATATTGACGTGAACGCGGCAGCCAGTGCCAAATCCAAAGTTTCCTCTTCTTCGGGTGCAACACCATTCAGCTCTGCAGCAGCCCTGCCTCCGGGATCATATGCGTCCTTAGGTAACCTAACCTCTGTCATCCTTTCCCTCTTGCTCTGCTGTTTGAGGTGACTCGTATGTCTGAGGAAATGACAGACTCCCGTGACTGAGGGCATTCTTGCTGTTGCAGGACTGATCCTTCCGTCGAGATGACTCTGTGCACTTGCTGCCGGTTAACAGCCACCCTTGTGGAGCGTTCCTTTCCCTCGGGCCTCGTCCCTTTGGGTCCCGAGTAAGCACACTTGTGCTTGGGGAACAGGTGGCACTGAGCACATCTTGCCTGGGCCACTTCCTCCTGCTAGTGGCAAGCCCAGCCAGTACCACAGCCACCTCCCATGTGGCCACAGCTTGGTTTTCTCCCCTCCTGACACTGGTGGGAGCAGAGTCGGAAGGGTTCAGTGAGGTATTCAGTAAGGATAGTCATTGTAGCTAGTGTTTCTTAATCTGAGAATATTACCAGGGTTGAGGGGGTGGGCTGGGTTGGTGGAAACGGTAGGAGGACTAGGAAGGAATGTGATGAGCTCAGTAACCGACATAACCATGTCTGTACGGAAGACTGTTGTCCTTCCACGTGTCACCTTGAGCACACGGTGGTCCAAAGGGGTTTTTAAAGAAATACTTCCAAAATTTTAATGTCTGACATAGTGGTAGATCCATTACTCATTCTTTCAGCAGATCCTTAATTCCTACTGTGTGTGAAGCTGATTATTTATTTCATTTTGGTTTTGTAAGAGCCAAGTTATTCAAAACCAAAATCTAGGGACCTAGCTGGATTGGTTTTACTTTGGACTTGAAGAAAATGAATGATACACAAGCATCATGAAACATTGAGCTGGAGTTACTTATGTGGCGTATGAATGAATTCCAAAGTCGGTTATAAAATGAATGTTGTGAAAATGTTTTGAGCATTGGAAGCACAGTGAGCGAGTAGCACCCAGAGAAGATTCCAGGATATGCCATTCATTAGCTCCGTGACCTTGAGCAGATGGTGGAATCTTTGGGTCTATTTGTCCTCCCCATAAATTACTTGTAATAATAGGCATCTCCAATATATTATGAGGATAAATGAAATTACATATAGGTTTTTTATAAACTGTTGTCCTGTAAGATGGAAGACAGTGTGATTGTGATAAGAACATTATTAATGAAAAAGTATATGTTCTGGAGCATTTTGCCCAGTGAGTCCTGTTTTCTCCACGGAAATACCTCGTACACACATACATTTCAGTTGGGAAGAAACTCAGTAAGAACTCTTTATCGTTTTCACTATTGCAACATTAATAGGTGTGTTATGATGTTATGTTGATATGTAATCATTGAGCAAGGGAGAAGTAACAACTCTTCCCACCTATAGTGAGTTAGTTAATTTTACTCTTCTTTAAGAATTTTAGCTCAGTCTTTAGGAATTTACCTATCCCTCAATACATTTGATTTACCTTTAGTATTTGTTTCATTGCTGGAAAACGTGAGTAAAAAGCAGCCTTTAGAGTGCTCAGTGTTCATTGTTTTTCTGTGCATATTTGGAGTGTTTGAACATGAATGGTGTAGACTTGCCCCAGTGCGAGTAAAGCCCCCCAGATCTTCTGGTATGATGGTATAGGACTGACCCTTCAGAAACACTGATGATACGTTTTTCAGCCCAGTATTGCCCCTTCAGAGAACAGGACTGGAGTGTTCACCTGCTTTTACTGTTTCCTGAGAATTCTACGCAACATTCCTTATTATGTCCCAACCACCAAAAAGCCCTGAAGTATAACCCTAGTGAGAGTTAGCTACAGTTACTACTTAGGTTGACACATGACATCTGTGCAAAAGTGTAGCATTAAAGTTGATGGTCCTTTTCCAAACTTCCAGAGTCCCGGCACATGAGGGAAGACATGGAGTACATAGGCCTGGACTCAGGTACCGTGCTGGACAGCTTCTGCTGCTGGACGTGTAGTTGGGATAGGCGTTGCTGGAGCAAGCTTCTCTGAGCTTCTTACTTGCCTCTGCCCTTTGGGTGACACTTTAGTATTGGAATTTCTAGTCCCTTCTCTCTGTCCCATTCTGCTAGTACTTTCTTCCAAGTAGAAGGAACTCTTAAGAGGCTGAGAGTTGGCCAAAACAAAAACAACATTCTTTCAGCTATGGCACTACTCAGGGTTGCCATTCTGTATTTTATTTTCCAAAAGCAAAAACACATTACTCTATGCTTAGCTAATTTCAGTTTAAGGCGTACTTACTTGCTTCAGACTCTGCTTTGCTGTTGAACTTGTTTCCCTTTTAAGTTTGTTTTAAATGGTACTTTTGCTTTTTTAGTAGCTAATAACATTCTGCTTTTTAATTTTTGAATGTTACTAACTGTTCCCTGTTATCCCTTCCCTTGTTTTTAATTTGCTTAAAGATGGTACTACCACTAAAGCGGAGGGTAAGCGGTTTGTTTCTGTGATTGAGGTGTGTCTCACTCTCTCCGGTCCTCTGTGCTCACCGAGTGTTGCCCGGCGCCCACTTGTCCTCACCAAGGTCCCTGCATGAGATGTTGCACGCCGTTTTCCCCTCCTCTCTCCATTCTGTCTCCACTGGGTTTTTGCCGTACCTCTACCTGAGTTCGCCCCTCCTCGTTCAGTCTGTTCTCGTGAGTTTGGGCACTGAAATATGCTGTGCGTGGTTTCCAACGCTGAGTCCACACTGGGGAGGAGCGCTGACGTCACGCTGTGTGCTGCTGTCCTCATGGACTGCCTGTCTTTGCTGTTACTGCTCTCCTGAAGCACCACCTTAGCTTTTATCTCCTCTTCCTTCCTTCTGTGCTTTTGTGGGCCTCTCGGGATTTGCCTTTCCTGTTTTGAAAATAAGTTTCAGTGTCAGTCATTCAGACTAAAGGCTGGTAAAGGTTTTCTAGCAGGTAGTTTATCAAAATTTAAAGAGTACTTTCCTTTCCCCTAAAGGTGCTACTGATTTGTGCCTTGCCTTTCCTTGTTTGTCTCGCGGACACAGGTCCTGGGCACTGACCTGCGCTCGCTCACCCGCTCGTCAGCCACGAGCCGTTAAGTGCCCGCCATGTGCCCTGTCGCAGTGGTGAGACACACAGGAATATGCAGGCCCACGTCATTTTCTTTTTGTGCCATCTTCAAGGGGCTCTTTCTGATTTTGTGTTGCCTTTTGAATCGCAGACATGGCTGTTCCAGTCTGTGCAGGTCTCTGACTAGCCTGTGTCAGATTCTGCAAAGCCTCTAGCCAGGAAGCATGATGATGCTTTAAGTAATTGAAATTTAATATAATTTTAAGCCTTCTTTGCTTAATAGTGGCTTAGGTCAACCAGCCCTCAGGATAATGACTTAATTAGCAACTAGGAGCACCTAGTTCATTTTTATATATTATTTAGCCACTCTAAATGGCTAGCATGCAAGGTGGATGGGGTTTTAGCTTGATGTGTACAGTTCTGTTCCTTTAATTAATATATACTACCATAAGAGACTCATAGGGGAAAAAATGGGAATGAAATCTGTTTTTCAGATGAACATAGTCCCAAGATCAATGTTGCTGAAACTTATCATAAGAATTACCTGGATGCTTACTGAGAAAAACAGTCCTGGGTCCTTCCCCTTGAGATGCTGGTTAAGTTTGGAAGGAGCCAGAGAATCTAAATTTCCATTTAGCCTCACTGATGATTCTTAGGGTTAGACAAGTTTGTGAAAAAGTTTCCGAAATGGAAGGATGGGCCAGAAACCTCTGTTCTGATAGGCCTTCATTTGTGGTAGCAGAAGGCTGAGGCTGGCGGGATTGTGAAGCTGGCTAATGATTTTCTTCATTTCTTTTGCTGATCTGAGTAATTTTTACATTTGACCTTTCCAAAGAAACAATCCTGTTTTCTCAGTCTAATTGGAAGGGGAGTGAAGGAGTTTCGAGAATAATGTAGATGGAATTAAAAGCAAAGACATTACCTGGAATTTTTTTTCCCCCAGAATGCCCTGATTCCTCTTCTCCTTTATACAACGGAATTGAAATTGGCCTGTTTTTGTGACCAGCTTTGAGAATGTTTAGCTTGTTTTCTTTTTGCCAGTCCTGAACAAGGTCAGAATTGCCCTTCAATTACTGTGAGGAGATTCTCTTTCTCCGGTTCTCTCTCTGCTAAAATATGCAGGCCCTTGTTTTTGTAGACAGCTCAGACTCTGACACTGTGTGGAGCTTGCTGAGGGAGCACAGTGGGCATCAGTATCCGTATGCAGGGTCGCACAGACCGTGGCAGCACCAGCCAGCCAGGGCCTTGGGTGATGACGAGAGGGACAGGACAGATGTTTCTAAGAGACCTGTAGATTGCAACCCTTGTAGGCTGTCATTGTTCTGTGGGTTCCAGCAGTGAAACTGCAGAGCCAGCGATGTTTAGAAAAGCCGCCAGCAAGCCGGGCTCAGTGGCTCAGCCTGTAATCCCATGCCTTTGGGAGGCTGAGGTGGGTGAATTGCCTGAGCCCGCGGGTTCGAGACCCACCTGGGTGGCGAGACCTCATCTCTACGATAAATTAAAAAATCAGGTGGGTGTGGTAGCGCATGCCTGTAATTCTGGCTACTTGGAAGGCTGAGGGTTGAGGCTGCGGTGGCTGGGAGCAGCCACTGCACTTCAGTCTGGGCGACAGAGTGAGACTCCAACTCAAAAAAAAAAAAGAAAAGCAGCCAGTGGTTACTAGGAAAAGGCCGTGGTGTAAATACCCCTAGTTCCCAGCTGCATTTTTGGAGTAATTATGGGCCTTTAAAAAATTTGTTCATAAATATATTAAGTATTTTACAGTCTGGATTCTGAGACAAGAAAAGAAATACTTTCCTCATCATAGGGCAGAGGTATGATTTGAGTCAGTAGTTGAATGCTGTAAATTAAAAATTTAGGCAGCACTATTCAATATAATAGAGTTCTGGCAACTCCATTATTATAATAATTGAGAAAAATGCATATTCTTTAGGAGTTACTTATTGTACACATCAAGGAATCCTTCTAATGTTTATGACTAATTAGACAAATATTTATTTGATAAAGAATTAAAAACTCAATCTTTGGACTAAAGTTTACTTCTAGGTTGTCTTTCGATATGTTCAATAATTTTGAAAATTTGAATGAAGAAAGCATATTGTCTTTTATTTTGCACAGGAGAAAGTTTATGACTAGATGTCACATGGTAAATTAATGTACATTCAGGCTTTTTAAAAAAGCTGATATGCTTACAGAAAGCATTATTTATACTTTTTTCCAAAATAAATAACTTTTTTTTATTATAAAGATGTGGGTTACAATTCAGGGTTAGATATACAAACATTGATTATGAGGTACCCTTGTTGATGAGGTGTGCCTCTCCCTCCCCTAGCAATTTTCCTCAACTGCCAAGCCCACCCCCCCTCCCCTGACAGTTTCCCACTACTGCCAGTTTCTTTCTTATAGTATTATGATAATTGTTCAAGGTCCGCTTATGAGTGAGAACATGTGGTACTCTGTTCTTGATTTCTGTGAGAGACCACTGAGTGTGACTCTAAATCCATCCAAGTTGCTGTGAAGTCCATATGTTTATCCTTCTTTGTGGCTGCATAATATTCCATTGTGTATATGTACCACATTTTTACAAGATAAATAACTTTAAATGCAAAATTACAAAATTACAATGACAGGTCATTGATTGTTTCAGTGAATCATTTGTGTAAGATGTATTCAGAGGCCATGCCAGCTTTACTTTTGGTGATTTTTATTAAGATTACACAGTAAAAAATTAAAACTATGTAGTGTAGGTTCATCAGCTCTTCAGGAAAAATAACTTCGATTTTAGAACAATTTTACCAGGAAATAAAACATTTGGCATTGCTGTTCATCCAAGAACTGTGAATTTAGGTAATTGGCCTTTTGATATAGTGTAAAAAATATATATATCTACATATAGAAGTAAAAGACTGTTAAGAAGCCTTTTTCGCATTTATTGCTTAATAATATGATGGAAATTATTCTTTTTAGGGGAGTAGTTGTAGGTAGCAAAATTCATTAAGTGATCACATTCCCCAATTTTGGTTCTATCAGAAATACTTTGTATATATGTGAGTAGAGGTTGGTTTAATCGTGCCCCCAAACAATGAGATGTAAAACAACTGTATATGCCAATGTATCCCAGTGTGATGAGAATTGAGATTTGTTTTAAAGAGCTTTTAATTTTTGCCATCTGTAAATTGGGAATTTGCCGAAAAATTTTGAAACATGTAGGGAACAGAAAAACCCTAGTGACATGAGACTGTGTAGTGATTTTTCAGGTGCCTAACATGGAGATGGAGAAACCCTGCCTGCAAACTAAACCTGGTACACAGGTTTACTCTCCCCTGTTTTGAGGTCTCTTCTAGAAGAATGGCAGTATGATTGAAAAAGAATCTTTAGCAGCAGCTTTAAAAAGCCATGAGAGATGAATATTCCTTCTTTATTCCTTGGAAATTGAAGGCTTTGTATTCCTCTTGTAATACTTTGTTTTCTTCTGGGTCTGCTTTTCTCTGGTTAGGTTTGTTTGTTGATGCATCTCTTGTTTGGCCCTCCCTCCAGAATTTGTTTTTGTTGTTGCACAGTTCTCTCTCTCTGTCTCTCTCTCTTTTTTTTTTTTTTTTTCTTATGCTGGCATTTTTTTTTTCTTCTTTTACACCTGTCTTCTTTTTGTCTCTGTCACTTAATAGGTCATAATATAGAGCGGAAGTATATTTTTACTACTTGTTGCATTTATTGAAACTTCATTTTTTTCTAAAGAACCCAGAGCATTTTGTATCATGTTTTGGAAACATACAGATGGTCATATTGGCAAATCAGTAGGCTGGAAGCAAACGAAAAAATGAAATGACATCTCTCCCAATAAAATAAATACATACCTGAGTTTAACACTACAAAGACCCTTTAAACTACATAGAAGCTGCTTCTCAAAAAAGTAAGCAAAGTTCAGAATCAACAGGATCAAAAACGGTAGTGACAGCTTGGACTGATTTTTAAGGCTGTTCTCAAAGGCTTAGTTACTTATGAGTAACTTAGGGTAGACAGAAAACAAGACCTTGAGCTCACCCAAGGTGAAAGTTGAGTTGGCATTAAGCCAGCATTGTCAAGAGGCTATATATATCCAATTAAAAGGTAGACTAGTAAAATAAAACCAAATAAAACAACAAAAAACACTCTATGTCATCAAATTCGCATGCTGTTTATCATGACTTTCTCTTGGACAGATGGGAAAAAAATCTTCCCCAATAATTTATAACTACTCTCTACTCAACACAAGTTATGGTTTCACATTTACATTATCTGTGGTGTCTGTAAAACTACTAGCTGATGAATAAAAGTGGTCTATGTGGCCGGGCTCGGTGGCTCAGCTTGTAATCCCAGCACTTTGGGAGGCTGAGGCAAGTGGATTGTCTGAGCCCACGGGTTCGAGACCA